CCAGGCTGCGGCCCGTTTCCGACAGCCAGGGGGAAATGACCCAGCTGTGCTCGGCACAGCGAAGAGGTGAAGGCTGACGGCGAGGGACAGTCCGGGGACCCCAGGCTGGTCTTCACACGGACTCTGAACACGTGTGTGTTATGCATCAATTTTAAATGTCTCCTTTGAATTTGGCTAGATTTAAAGAAAAAAACTCTCTGAACAATTGAAAAGAATTAAAATCACGCAGTGTGTGTATGTTGTTTTTTTTTTTTTTTTTGAGCTGGAGTCTCACTCTTGTCGCCCAGGCTGGAGAAGTGTTTCAAAAAGAGCGTTCTGTCGTCAGGTGGCCGAGAAATGCTACAAACCGTATTTGCCACGATGGCCGTGTGGTGCATAAATACTGAAGACTCAAAAGTGCTAGAATAAACAAGTGTGGGAAACTTAGCCAGGATTTTCCAAACTTAACTACTGAATCTTTCTTCTTGCCTAATATATATCACCATACAGTATAACGTTTTATATGAAATTCATTTTAATAAATACTTTACATGAAACATAATATACAAAAGAGAAAATACTTTAGGAGAGAATTATTTACTTTGTAAGATATTTTGTTTTACCAAAGAAATGCCATAAGGTATAGAAATATTGCCACACATTTTTTTTTTTTTTTGAGTTGGCGTCTCACTCTGTCGCCCAGACTGGAGCGCAGCCTCGACCTGCTCCCAGCCACCGCAACCTCACCTGCTGGGCTCCGGCGATCCTTCCGCCTCGGCCTTCCGAGTAGCCGAATTACAGGCGCGCGCTACCATGCCCGGCTGATTTTTTTTTTGATTTACTGTGAGAGATGAGGTCTCGCTGCCCGGGCAGGTCTCGAACCCGCGGGCTCAGGCCATCCACTCACCTCAGCCTCCCAAAGGCGCGAGATGACAGGCCGAGCCACCGAGACCGGCTATCGCCACACATTTTAAATGTGTATGCAAATTTGCAAGCACTGTAGCTAACACATAATGAGAGAAAAGCTTTAAATTATTTCACTGGCATGTGCACTTGCAGAGCTAGCTCTGTTTCACGTTGTATTTTTAAAAAATAGACCTGAAACAAAACCACAAGCCCCAAACTTACTTTTTGGAGAGGATTTTCACCCCTAGGAGAACGGCGACCGCCTCGGCCCCCAGGGCGGCGAGTATGATCCCCCCATACAGCACGGCTTGCTCCTGCGTCCAGGCGTACATGTCCATGGTCAAGGGGGTGATGATGCTGGAGAGCAAGGAGGAGTCACTCTCCCTCACGGAGAGACGGGCCCCCCGTCCTCGGGGCGGTGGCCGCGCGGCTCCGCACCCGCACGTCCGGGAACCTGCGGCCTGCCCACGGTGCCAGACCGACGTGCGCTTCGAGCACGTGGTATTGTGACGTGCACAGGTGACTCCTCCTGCCTACCCGTATGCCACTTGCTAATGCTGACCTGAAGCACCCTGGAAAAAGCCTGAAGAAGTCCGGAAAAGGAAACCCAAAAGAGAAAACCCGGAAAAAAGGAAGCAAGCCAAACCAACCCTAACTCCTCCGGATCCATCATGACTCCAGGATTCTGGCTCCCTGCTGGGCCGAGAACCGGGGCTGCTGCGCTCTGGCGGGGCCTCTCCCACCCCCCCTTCACGTCACACCCCTCCTCCTGCCCCTGAGCGTCCCCCTTCCTTCGCGTGACGACTGCGTCCTGCTTCGCCAGTCTCCTCTCCTGCGTGCGACCTGTTAGCTGACTACAAAATGGAATTTACACTCAAAACTTCTTTAAAAAGAACAGGCTCATGCCTGTCATCCCAGCACTTTGGGAGGCAGAGGGAGGAGGACTGCCTGAGCACAGGGGTTCGAGACCAGCCTGGGCAACCTGGCGAGACCTCATCTCTACAATGAATCAAAAAAGAAATTAGCTGGGTATGGTGGCGCATGCCTGTGGTTCCAGCTCCTTGGAGGGCTGAGGCGGAAGAATCGCCTGACCCCAGCAGGTCGAGGCTGCGGTGGCTATGAGCTTGCCACTGCACCCCAGCCTGGGCGACAGAGTGAGACCCCAACTCAGAAATAAAAAAAATAAAAGCATCAAGCCAATCTACAGGTGCCAGCATAAAAATCTCACCATGTGTGGATAAGTGAACAAACCATGTTGTCAAATGATCACATCACACAGTCTGTGTGAGTTTAACGGATGCACACACTCGTATTTGCACAGAAAAAATCCCAACTGAGGAAGTATTAGCTGCCTCCACAGAATACAGTGGATGTGGAAGATAGCTGTCATCTTTGGAATGTTTATAAAAATGTACTCTCTTTATAATTTAATGGAAAAGTATTTTAAAAATAAAAGGGCCATTATGGTAAATAAAACTCACTAAAGCCTGAACAAGGCAGATATTTTGCAATTTACTAATTTTTTTGCAAGATTAGGGATTAAATGGAGTTAAAATTGCCAGACAGAAGCCTGCATACATAAGTAGGCAGTGTATACTGCTTACGGTTCATTAAATGATGATACTAAGTAAAGGTTTATAACTGTAATTATCATAAAATTCAGATGAAAGGGGAAAAGATTAGCAAAACAGATTCCTTTATAAGAAAGTAAGATAAGGTAATATGACTATAAACAAAAGATTAATAAATTCAAATTAAAAACCACAAAACATATATGTGCTTTTATATCCCGATAAAAAAAGTAAGCGGGGCACGGCGCCTCACGCCTATCATCCCAGCACCTTGGGAGGTGGAGACCAGAGGACTGCCTGACCAAGGGTTCCAGACCAGCCTGGGCAACATGATGAGACCTTGTCTCTAAAATAAATTTTTTAAAAAAATTAGCTGGGCGTGCATCTATAGTTCCAGCTACTTGGAAGGCTGAAGCGGAAGGATCGCCTGAGTCCCGTAGGTCCAGGCTGCAGAGTCTAAGAGCGTGGCACTGCACTCCAGCCTGGTTGACAGAGTGAGTCTCTGACTCAGAAAAAAGAAATAAAGGTTAATCACGTAATCTAATTTAGATGAAGACAAAACAGAACTTACGTTTCGAAGAGGGCAAAGATAAACAGAACCACAAAAAACAGCACGTTGGTGGCCAGCACGGCGACCTGGTCGATGTGTCCTTGAGGGGCCGGAGCCGCGTCTACGTTGGCTGCAGGAAACAGAGAAGTCTCATGGCCGGTCCAGAGGCCTCTCCTAGATACTCGACAACAGAGGGGAAACTGGCCGAGGCAAACTCCATGGACAATCATGCGTAGGCTTCCAAGCAGCTTCATAGTAAGAGGATTTATGTGGCAGGAATCATTTTTAAATGGCATTAAGAAGATAGAGTGAATTTCAACCCTACTGCTTCAAAAAATACTCAGACTTATTTTCCATTTGGTGACTTCCAATCCAAAATAGGAATGCATTTTACAGACACCTAGAACAGTGATAGCACACATACAGATATATTTGCTTTAAATTTCTTTTCTTTTTTTTTTTGAGTTGGAGTCTCACTCTGTCACCCACGCTGGAGTGCAGTGGCACGCTCACGGCCACCGCAGCCTCGACCTGCTGGGCTCAGGGGATCTTTCTGCCTCTGCCTTCCAAGTAGCTGGAACCAGAGGCATGCACCATCACAACCGGCTAATTCTTTGGTTTATTGTAGAGACGAGGTCTCGCCATGGTGCCCCGACTGGTCTCGTACCCCTGGGCTCGGGCAATCCTCTTGCCTTGACCTCTCAAAGTGCTGGGATGACAGGCTTGAGCCACCGCCCCCAGCCTGCTTTAATTTTCAGTTGCAGAATTTTTCCCACTTTAACTAAATATTTTTTCATTTTTTAATGTTTTCTTACAGACGAGGGCCTACTAGGTTGCCCAGGCAGGTCTCAAACTCCTGCACTGGAGCAGTCCTCTTTCTCAGCCTCCTGAGTCGGCTGGGATCGCAGGCGTGAGCCACCGCGCCGGGCCTTTCTTTTTACTTTTCACGTTGAAAGTGCTCACGGGCATTCCCACATCTGCACCCCAGACTCAGCGCCGCCTCGCCACCTGCGATCCGCTGTCCCCTCCTCTCTCTCTCGCTTCCTCCTGGCCGCTCGGCATTTGCCGTCAGCTTTGCCCTCGACCGCCCAAATGACAGATGCCTCTGCGACTTCTGGCTGTTCCCTGGCAACAGTATGTCCCGCTGACTCCACAAGGAATCCCTCCCTCAGCCGGCCTCCCCTCCTAAGGGCCTGCTCTCATTCTTCCAACAACCTGGGACTGGCCAGCTGTCAAGATCCTGGTCTTCCCTTCAGTGTCCTGCCTCTCCTTCCTCTGGATCAGCCACGCCCTCGCGCAGGCCTCACGTGTCTGGACCAGCCCCGCAGGGAGTCTACTGCGTGACCTTCTTGTTCAAGACCTTCCATAGCGCCCCATCCTTCTGCTGTCCACCCGGCTACACTTCACTTCACTTCCACTACTGCTGTCGTGGAAGGGAAATAAAATAACTATGAAAGCACTTGGTGGACAGTCGCAGTGGCCTGTAATCCCAGCACTTTGGGAGGTGGAGGCGAGAGGACTGCCTGAGCCCAGGGATTGGAGCCTGCCAACTAGGTGAGATCCCATCTCTAAAATAAATCAAAAAATTAGCCGGGCATAGTGGTGTACGTCTGTGGTTCCACCTACTTGGGAGGCTGAGGCAGAAGGATCGTCAGAGCCCAGCGGGTCGAGGCTGCGGTGGCCGGGAACGTGCCCCTGCACTCCAGCCTGGGCGACACAGTGAGACTCCGACTCAAAAAAAAAAGAAAGCACTTTGTAAAATGGGGCTGTGTCTTACTACAGCTTCATAAACTCAGGAAAGCGAGAGCTAAGCTGCATTTTTTTCTGTCATATGGCAGGAGACGTGCCATGGAGGATACAATAAGTACACAAATAATGGCCTATTTGGTAAAATATATCAACTTATCAGGTTCTCTGACTATGTGAGTCAGGGAAGATCCAAAGGCTGAAAAATGTATACTGAACGTACAACAACAGAATAAACATAAAAAGGAAAAACATGGCTGGCCACAGGGCCTCACACCTGTCATCCCAACACTTTGGGAGGCCAAGGCAGGAGGACTGCTTGAACCCAGGAGTCAAAGACCAGCCTGGGAAGCAGAGCAAGACCTCCTCTCTATGAAAAAATCAAATTGGCTGGGTGTGGCGGCACCCCTATAGTCCCAGCCACTCAGGAGTCTGAGGCGGAAGGACTGCCTGAGCCCAGGAGGTCGAGGCTGCAGTCGCCATGATCGTGCCACTGCCTCCAGCCTGGGCAACAAAGGAGACCCTGACTCGCAAAAAAAAGGAGAATGGAAAAACAACATCTCATGATTAAGGGAGTGAAGAATCAGCCGGGCTCGGTGGCTCAGCCTGTCATCCCGCGCCTTGGGAGGCTGAGGTGAGTGGATGGCCTGAGCCCGCGGGTTCGAGACCCGCCTGGGCAACTTGACGAGACCCCATCTCTACAATAAATCAAAAACGAGCCGGGCGTGGTAGCACGCGCCTGTAGTTCCAGCTACTTGCAAGGCTGAGGCAGAACGATCGCCCGAGTCCAGCAGGTTGAGGCTGCGGGGGCCGGAAGCGGCCACTGCACTCCAGTCTGGGTGATAGAGTGAGACTCCAACTCAAAAAAAAAAGGGCGTGAAGAATCCATTGAAACAGAAAAACTCGCTCATTTGGCAGCAAAAACACTGAATTGTCTCAGTGATCTCAAATGTGTTAGGATGCTGGCTCTTTGAAAATAAGACAAAGTGGTTTTTAGCAATGGTCTTAATCTCGCCAACTGTCAACACCAAATAATGGATATGAATATGACGTTTTAAAAAAAAAATTAATTTGGGTCACTTTCACCTGTGACAATCTCCCCAGTCACCCACTGTGCTACCCTCAGAAGCAAAATCCAAGCAAATACCAGACAGACAGAATGAGGAGAAACGCTGTGATGGCGTGACAGCTATTCAGTGGAACCGGCTCACAGTACCTTCTTCAAAATTAACATTTTTACACTGCCGCCCTGAGTCATCCACACGATATTCTCTTAAAAAGAAAAACATAAACATTGTATCCATGAGGGCTTAGTGTTCCACAGAGAAATGGCTTACATTTATTATTACTAGCATTCTACTCTTTCACATTCTGATATCCTTTCTTTTACTGGCTTCTGAGTAATAAAATTGCCATTGAGAAAATGACCAATAAACTTAAAAAGAAGTTACACTTCTTATCATATTATCAAAAACAGGGAAATGAAAGAAACACTCAATGCAGTCAAAAGCATGCATGATCTACCTTAGTCACTATTTGAAGTTTTAAAAACTAGCTATAAATGTTTTCAAACTCTGTATAAAACACACTAGAGAAATATAAAGTAGGCTGGAAGTGGTAGCTCATGCCTGTCATCCCAGCACTGTGGGAGGCAGAGGCTAGAAGACTACCTGAGCCCAGAGAGGTTCAAGACCAGCGTGGGCAACTTGGTGAGACCTCGTCCCTACAATAAATCAAAACTTAGGTGGGCTCGGTGGTGTGTGCCTGTAGTTCCAGCTACTCGGGGGCTGAGGCAGGAGGATCGCCTGAGCCCAGCAGGTCAAGGCTGCAGGGAGCCGCGATCGTACCATTGCCTTCCAGCCAGGGCAACAGAGCGAGACTCTGACATACAACGCACACACACAAATAAAATAAAATATAAAGTAATAAAACGTAAGCAGCCTTAGAAAACTTCTAATCTATAAAATATAAGAGCTACACGCTACTAGCAACTTTTATAATTAACATGGATACACCTGAGCCCACGGGTTCGAGACCCGCCTGGGCAGGCGAAACCTCATCTCTACAATAAAATAAAAAAATCAGCCGGGCGTGGTAGCACATGTGTAATTCTGGCTACTCAGAAGGCTGAGGCGGAAGGATTGCTGGAGCCCAGCAGACAAGGCTGTGGTGGCTGGGAGCGGCCACTGCACTCCAGTCTAGGCGACCGAGTGAGACTCCAACTCAAAAAAAAAAAGATGGATACAAATCCAGTCATCAGCTTAGAATGTTGCTTGCACACCACTCCCTGACTTGGACACACAGTACATCAAGACCCAGCCTGGAACCTTCCCAGACATGCACAATCCGTTTTCAGACAGTAGGTGTCTATTATCTTGTTGTCAGGATGACATGCCCAAGCACCGTGTGATCGAAAACCAAGAACACATTCCTAGGGATCATCACAAGGCTTCCTGAACCCCGCTAGCGACGAGGGTGATTTTAGCATCTGGAGCTCCTTACCTTAACACAACAAGGATCAGAACTATGTTGAGGACCCCGAGCAGGGCGCCCAGCAGCACTGGCGCTGTGTACATGTTGACCTGCAGCCTCAGGGCTTCCCACGTCACACCCTTGTCTCCGATGAGCGCAAAGCACGTCTGGAAAACTGGTTAACATGAAATGTACACAGGTGAGTTCTCTGGAAGGCACAGGATAAAAAATGGAATAATGGCCACAAGACTGGTGGGAAAATGTAGCCTTTTGAAGGATAAAGCACAGGCATGTCTCGCAGCACCTCAAAGACACAACCGGGCTGCGGTGCTGGAATGTCACGGGATAAAGTGACCGGGAAAAACAAATACTGGAAAAGGCTCCTTGGGGAGGATCATGGCAAACAAGGCCATGACTCACGGAGAGTCGGCCCAACGGGCCTTTTTGTAAAATAATAAGACAAACCACAGGAAATTTAAGTTATACAACTTCTTCCATGACTGAATTATAAAAGTTTAATCAACTTTATTTTATTTTATTTATTTATTTATTTTTTTTGAGTTGGAGTCTCACTCTGTCGCCCAGACTGGAGCACAGTGGCCGCTCCCGGCCACCGCAGCCTCGACCCGCTAGGCTCCGGCGATCCTTCCGCCTCAGCCTTCCGAGTAGCCGGAACTACAGGTGGGCGCTACCATGCCCGGCTAATTTTTTTGATTTATTGTAGAGATGAGGTCTCGCCAAGTTGCCCAGGCGGGTCTCGAACCCGCGGGCTCAGGCAATCCACTCACCTCGGCCTCCCAAAGTGCTGGGATTACAGGTTGAGCCACCAAGCCCGACTTCAACTTTATTTTATTTCATCATTTCTTGATTTTTTTTTTTTGAGTTGGAGTCTCACTCTGTCGCCCAGACTGGAGTGCAGGGGCCGCTCCTGGCCACCGCAGCCTCGACCTGCTGGGCTCCGGCGATCCTCCCGCCTCAGCCTTCCCAGTGGCTGGAACTACAGGCACGCGCTACCACGCCCGGCCAATTTTTTAAAATTTATTGTAGAGATGAATTCTTGCTGAGTTGCCCGGACTGGTCTCGAAATCCTGTGCTCAGATAATCCTCTCACCTCTGCCTCCCAAAGTGCTGGGATGAAAGGCATGAGCCACCACACCTGGCCATAATCAATTTTATTATAACAAAGAAAATAACACATTTTAGGTAACATACTGTAAGCCCTCTCAGGCTCAGGCTCAGGCCAGCGAACCACCAGAGGAGCCTCCTGAGTAGCCGGGACTGAGGGATCCGTTGCCACACCAGGTGAATGTTTTGTATCTTTTGTAGAGATGAGGGCTAGCTGTGTTGCCCAGGTTGTTCTCAAACTCCTGGGCTCAGGCCGTCCTCTCGCCTCGGCTTCCCAAAGTGCTGAGATGACAGGCATGAGCCACCATGCCCGACTGAGATCATCTTCAAAATACTTTTAAGGCCGAGCACAGTGGCGCATGCCTATAATCCCAGCACTTTGGGAGGCCGAGGTGAGAGGACTGGCTGAGCCCACGGGTTCGAGACCCGCCCGGGCAACTTGGTGAGACATCATCTCTCCAATAAATCAAAAAATTAGTGGCGCGTGCCTGTAGTTCCAGCTACTTGGAAGGTTGAGGCTGAAGGCTCGCCAGAGCCCAGTGGGTCGAGGCTGTGGTGGCCGTGAGCATGCCACTGCACTCCAGCCTGGGCAACAGAGTGAGACTCCAACTCAAACTAAAAAAAAATACTTTCAAGATGGTCAAAAATATATACTAAGAATCTAAGACTATCCCAGGTACTAGATACTGAATACTGAGGGTAGACTTGCAAGCGGAAAAGCCCAGACCACGTCCTCATGTCATTTATGGAATTTAGAACTATTCTGCCTTTGTGCTTCTCTCTGTTCCAGATTCCTACACTGAAATATTAGATTCTGGTGAACGATGAGGAAGATTCTCCTCTGCTGAGGGTTTTCTGGCTAAGTGGAAGAAGCAGTGGAAACCCAGGGCAGGGCACAGGGTGCTGAGGAAGCAAACCGAAGGTTGGATTCAAACTGGTGATTTCCAGTGGCCATATTCACAGCATGAACCAATTATGTGGTTTTTTCAACAGTACTTAGGCAAAAAAATGATGAGTTTCTCTACTCAGCAAAAAAAGTGAACTTGCCTTGGGGAAGTGCTAAATCTCATTCGTGTATTTTTCTACTCAGCAAGAGGGCGACTGGACAGCTGGCTTGGCGTCCTCATCCGCGAAATGGGACTAACCGCGTCTAACGTAGAGGAAGGCTGGCGTGGAGGCAGGAAGAGCCTGGCCCCCGCTGGACCAGGAAGCCTTAGCCTCCCTGCCGTCCCCTTCAGCCTCGCGGCTTCAGACGTGGATCACACCTGACGTTTGAGCCCCGAGAGCTTTCCGGTTCCAGCTCAGCAACGACAGGCAGAGACCCACCTGGACCCAGGATGAAGCCCAGGGCCTGGCACGCGCTGGTGTTCGCCATGGCACCGGTCCTCTCCTGGAGGGACGTGGCGCCGGCGATGTAGGATCTGATGACCGCCACGTTTCCTAGAAAAGACACAACAGCCCAAAGCTCTTAGAGGAAAGGTCCTCAGTCGAGACAATTCCATCTAACTTGGCTTTAAACCGAAGAAGAAGAAATACCGATCAACAGCAGAGTCACTGCTTCCTCTTTATGATCAGGCAGAGCATGGAAGGTATTTCTATTGAGCCCATGCATCCATTAAGGAAACACAGGAATCAGCAACACGAAAACACAGTGAACGCCAGGTGTGGTGGTGGCGAGAGGACACCCTGGGAGGTGGAGGCGAGAGGACGGCCCGACCAGCCTGAGCAACATGGCAAGACCTCGCCTCTACAATAAAAATTTTTAAAAATCAGCCAGGTGTGATGGCGCACGTGTGTGGTTCCAGCTACTTGGAAGGCTGAGGCAGGACAATTGCCTGGGCCCAGCTGGTCGAGGCTGTGGTGACTGTGAGCGTGCCTCTGCACTCCAGCCTGTGCAAAAGAGATTCCATCTCAAAAAAAAAAAAAAAAAACACAAAGAAAGATCTAAATGAACGAATGATACAAGAATAGCAAACTTTTCATTATTAAATATCAAGAAAGCACTGAGTGAATGGCATACCTCAGACTGCTACACTATTTTTAAAAGTTTCACAAACTCTATGCATAGACCTGTAATACAAGAAACAGAAAACAATTCGCTGACTATTTAACTGAAAAACTTTCTTGAGCACTTATGCTCAGGAGACCCTGTTGGGGCCACAGAATATTTAAAATATCATCAACTATCTCTAATTGCTAAAAGTTTGCCATCTGATTGGGGAAAAGGCTCAAAACCGGGCGAGGTGCAAGCAGGTCCCAGAGACACGTCAGAGACGAGGCGCGTCTGTAAGGAGCAGGGTAGCCCGAGAGCAGGAGGTGTGGGCCTGGAGCGGAGGGAAGCTTCTGCTGTTTGTTTTGTTTTGAGACGGCCTGGCTCTGTTGCCCAAGCCAGCCTTGAGCTCCTGGAACCCAGAGATCCTCCTGCCTCAGTGTCTGGAGGTGCCAGCCCTGCCCAGGCACACACGGCCGCGCTCGGCATGAACAAACTCTTGTAGGGCGAAGAACGGTGGGAACAGAAGAGAAACTGCAAGTACAAGGAACATCGTGGGCAAAGGCAGACGACGGAAGACGTGTGTCTGTCTGCGGTGAGACACCTGCGCGTTGAACTCCCAAACACCAGACTGAGAAGGGAGGAGGCCCCATCAGAGAGCGCCGTGGGTGTCAGGAGGAGCGTGAACCTGGCACGACCCGCATGGACCACACATTACCTGCTCCGACGCCCACCAGGCCCCGCGCAGCCAGCATGTAGTACTTGTTGTGGGAGGCGGGCACGTGCACATACGCGTACAGGCAGTTGGCTGCCACCGAGACACAGAGGGAGACGACCAGAGGCTCTCTTCTGGGTCTGTGATTAGACCATAAGCCAAAGAGCGGTGAGGCTACCATCTGGCCAAGACTGAATGAAGCGATCACCCAGCCCAGGAAACTGGCATCGGCTGTCTGATCCACCTGCAGAAAAAAGCATCACGCCATAGGAACTGCTATCCAAGAAAAGGGAAGTTCAAAACCCAAATACATTTGTCTGACCATACACATTTTCTATTAAAAAATAAAACAACCATTGTAACATGTGCAACACCATCACTTACAGTAAGGGGTTAAATTCCTGACAATTTAAATTTAAATGTGCTAGCTGGGCACAGTGGCCGAAGCCTGTAATCCCTGCTGTGGGAGGCCGAGGTGAGAAGACTGCCTGAGCTGAGGGGTTCGAGACCAGCCTGGGCAATTTGGTGAGACCTCGTCTCTACTACAAATCAAAAAATAAGCCGGGCGTGCTGGCACGTGCCTGTAGTTCCAGCTACTTGGAAGGCTGAGGCAGAAGGATCACCTGAGCCCAGCAGGTCAAGGCCGGGGTGGCTGTGAAAGTGCCACTGCACTCCAGCCTGGGTGACAGAGTGAGACTCCAACGCAAAAAAAAAAAAATGTGCTAATAATTTACTATACACAGGGGTAAAATGCTTGGGAAGGCTGATCTTTTAGAATGATCATGGTAATTTCTGTTTCATAAAAATGTTGTTACGAAGAAAATCCACTGTGTGTGCGTGTGTGCACATATATAAATACACACACACACATATATATGGGTGTTCCAAAAACAATGTATAAACAGTTAACGGGATATTATCTACGTATACTTTTCGAAGTTGAATTGAATTACAGTAGACATATGGAGTATGACGTTCGCTCAATGTGCTTCTGCCATTTTCTTTGACTGCCCTGCCTGTCACATGGTGACACGAGCATTCATTTGATTAATGCCATCTTATGAGTGAATATCATACTTAAAATGTGTATATCTGGTTGGGCTTGGTGGTTCAGACTGTCATCCCAGCACTTTGGGAGGCTGAGGTGAGTAGATTGCCTGAGCCCAAGGGTTCGAGATCAGCCCAGGCAATCTGGCAAGACCTCGTCTCTACAATAAATCAAAAATTAGCCGGGCCTGTTAGTGCAAACCTATAGTTCCAGCTACTGGGAAGGCTGAAGTAGAAGGATCGCCTGAGCCCAGTAGGTCGATACTGGGGCAGCCGTGAGCGTGCCACTATGCTCCAGCCTGGGAAACGGAGTGAGACTCTGACTCAAAGAAATTTAAAAATATGTATACTTTTGGCACCCCTGTATATATGTAGCAAAAACATCTTGAAAAGCAATATAACTTATTCTTTAATTTTTATAAATATGATCCTTTAGACTTATGCTATCCTATAGGCTAAACAACCATTAGCACTGTAAATATTATTTTAGAAAACTAGACACAATTGTCAAACGCATAAAGATCATAAAAACACAAAGCCGAAGGACAATTATCTCATTAAACCCATTCCTAATTCTTCCTCTCTACAAAGACAGTCTAGTATTCCACCACTTAAAGAGGGTTTACATATCATGACAAACAATGAACCAAACGACTAAAATTCAGAAAATACTTTCAGAAAAATAGGAAATTTTAGCTTAGAAAAGGGGCTATGAGATAAATCAACAGTTTGTTTTTTTGAGTTTTTTTTTAGTTGGAGTCTTGCTCTGTTGCCCAGGCTGGGGTGCAGTGGCACGCTGCTCCTGGCCACCGCAGCCTCGACCTGCTGGGCTCCGGTGATCCTTTCACCCCAGTCTTCCAAGTAGCTGGAACTACAGGTACGCGCTATCACACCTGGCTTATTTTTTGATCTATTGTACAGATGAGGTCTCACCAAGTTGCCCAGGCTGGTCTCGAACCCCTGAGCTTAGGCGATCCTTTCGCCTCAGCCCCCCAAAGTTCTGCGATTACAGGCTTCAGCCACCGTGCCTGGCTAACATACCGTAAAAATACAGTATGTTTACAGTGGCATGCACCTTTAATCCCAGGTACTCAGGAGGCCAGGCAGGAGGACTGATTGAACCTAGGAGTTTAAGGTTGTAGTGCACTATGAATGAGCCTGTGAATGGCCACTGCACTCCAGCCTAGGCAACATAGCAAGACCCTGTCTCTTAAAAAAAAAAAAAAAAAAAAAAAGGGCTCACGTCAGTAATCTCAGCACTTTGGAAGGCCACGGCAGAAGGATGGCTTGAGTCCAGGAGTTCAACATCAGCCTGGGCAACATTGCGAGATCTCATCTCTACAAAAAACAAAAAAAGTACCTGGGCGTGGTGGCACATACCTATAGTCCCAATTACTTGGGAGGCTGAGGAGAGAGATCTCCTGAGCCCAGGATGTGGAGGCTGCAGTGAGACATGGTTGTACCACTGCGCTCCAGTTTGGACAGAGTGAGACCCCGACTCAAAAATAAAATACACACACACATCAACTCCTGGGGGGAACCAACAAGTGTGGAACAAGCTGATAAGGAAGACACAAGTGACGTAAGAACGAGGGGTGAGAGCTGAAAGGCCAGCCGGGGCAGAGGCGTCACAGAAGCCAAGAAGCAAGCCATGGCTGGAACGTGTCCCCATGTGACATGTAATGGACACTTAATCCCCAGTGAGGCAGAACGGAAGGGTGGGCTTCTACGCGGCGACTGGCCGAGAAGGCTCTGCCCTCAGGGATGAGTCGAGCCTTTCATGGGGCAGTGGGTCAGCAGGTCAACAGGCGGGACTCCAGCGGAGGAGTGGCCTGGGCTGGCGCGCTCAGCCCCTTGCCACGGGACCCTGCGTGCCCCGGGCCTCCTCGGAGTCCCCACCCAGGAAGGCCCTGGCCAGATGCAGCCCGTCAACACTGCACTTGTCAGCCTCCATAACTACGGGAACAAATTCCTTGTCTTTACAAATTTCCCCGTTTGTCAGGCGTTCTGTTATAAGCAACAGAACACAGACCAGCACAGACGGTTTCAGGAAGTAGGGAGAGGACAGTCATGCCAAAGGCTCTCCAGTCGTCATTAAAGATGGCGAGGGTCTGTCTGATCAACTGCTAAGTTGCTGGAGACCTCAGAGAGCAGCTTCGGGGCTGCAGAGGAATTCGTCGGGCTGAGGCAGGGGAAGGAGTGACCAGCTTGGGAAGCACAAGGGATCTGGAAGAAGCTTCACTGAAATGTTGCCGTAGACCAGTCACGCAGCTCATACACTGATTTTTAATAAGTTTATGCCTGGAGATGAAGACAGGGCAGGACAAGGCACCCACCAGGCTTCAGCCTCCCCGTCACCCCCTTGTCTTGCGGTCACAGTATCAAGACGCACACGTTGACTCTGTTTCTCACGTCGTGCCAAGCCCTCTGCGCTGGGAGACACCTTGCGGGCCACCTACCAATAACTTGACTGCACCTGCTAGCAAAGTAGTAGAAAGCGGATCACTTCATATTAAACACGTAGCGTTGGCACCAATTATTTCATGGCGATGATATTTGGCTTAGAATGGAACTTCGGACACAGAGGGACTGACTTATGAGAAAAAGATAAAAATTGTGTTGCTTACACTTGTCTAATGCGTGGCAACGGGTGAAACAGTCACCGACATGCATTGCAGGTGCACTGATATGTGTTATGCAACAGTAGCTTGCTGGGCGCCTTCCACCTGGTGTTTTTCTATCCAAGCAGACGGTGCAGTCTCATTTTCTTCCTCCCACATTAAGATCACTGCAGTAAAAGCTAAAAAACTCGCCGGGCGTGGTGGCTCAGCCTGTCATCCTAGTACTTTGGGAGGCCAAGGTGATAGGATTCCCTGAGCCCAGGGGTTCAAGATCTGGTGAGACCTCATCGCTACAATAAAAATCATAAAAACTAGCCAGGCATGGTGGCATGCACCTATAGTTCCAGCAACTTGGAAGGCTGAAGCAGAAGGATCATTGGAGACCAGCAGGCCGAGGCTGTGGTAGCCGTGACCGTGCCACTGCACTCCAGCCTGGGTGACAGAGTGAGATTACAACTCAAAAAAAAAAAAAAAAAAAAAAGGCTGAGCGCACCTTGGGAGGCTGAGGTGAGTGGATTGCCTGAGCCTGCGGGTTCAAGACCCACCTGGGCAACTTGGCGAGACCTCATCTCTACAATAAATCAAAAAAATTAGCCAGGCTACCTGGTAGCACGCGACTGTAGTTCCAGCTACTTGGGAGGCTGAGGCGGAAGGATCGCTGGAGCCCAGCCGGATGAGGCTGTGGTGGCCAGGAGCGGCCACTGCACTTCAGTCTGGGCGACCAAGTGAGACTCCATCTCAAAAAAAAAAAGGAAAAGCTAAAAACCCCTGTTGGTCAACATCATGCCACTTAGGCCAAATCAATTTGTGTGACAGCTGCCTTTTCCTTATTTTTTCAGCCGCAGAACGATCTGTGTCTTTTATTACACTATTCACTAAATCATTTGTAAAATACACAGTCAAATAGTCCGTGGGTTCTCTTACAGTACTTGCTGTTTGTGGTCATGTTGTCTGAGGATGGACAACAAAATGCGTCTCGCTGGAGGCTCGCCTTGCACGCTTCACGCCACGAGGCATTGTCTTCCACTCCTTGGAAACTAACACTTTCATCACTATCACTTTCTGTCACACTCGCCTGTTTTCTTCTGGGTGGGATGACATCACCACCGCTACTATTGTTTTCTTCCACATCAATGTTTATTTTTTCTTACTTATCTGTACAAAAGTCTAAATCTAACTCATCTTCGCTGGTGTTTCTATTATTACTCTCGCTTTCGTCTTTTCATTTTGCTGTTCCGCAAACTGAATAAATGGATAAACATTTCTAATTGCAAATTATGAAATCATGACGTGAAATTGAGCAGAAGGTTACTTTTCCAATTTTACTTTTCCGACTGCGTGCAGGTAGGGACATTCGATCTGTGCTGCTTGACACTTCAGTACGATCTGCCTTCAGCTTCGAAAGTCTCTTTCTTTTACGGCTACAGTAGCTACTGTAACTTGCTCACCTGTCTTTCCAAGTATGCTTATGAGACAAAGGGTGTAGCCACAGCTGCCATGCTGATGCAAGCACTCTTTGTGGCTTCCTTCTGTTACAAGGAAGTGTTGGTGTGTGTGGTGATTCCAACAAATGCACTTTACGCATTCTCTTTCTATGTGACACCAGCTGATGTTTTTTTATGTCTATCCCAATATGCATCCCATCCTTTATTTGCTTTTCCGTGCAGTTTGAATGGAAAACTTCAGGGAAACCTACAGCTTTGAAACATGTGCGCCGGCCTAAGTTTGTCCTGTATAATCACCAGCAATACCTTGATGTTCCCTCAAAGGGAACATCTGAGTGCAAAGGGATAATAACCCTTAATGTGGGAAGGTTTTAAGTTATTCCACAGAATTACCATTTGCACACTTGGGAATTCAGACTCGGTCTAGTTTCCTCATCACGGGGGAGGAGCCAGTGCCAGCCCATGACAGGCAGCCACTGGTCTGCAGTCTCTTGGCACCATCTGGAAGATGCTGTTTTCTCCTGGTCCAGCACTTCCTCTGCCTCAAGTGTTCTGTCGCACCATAAAGCTTAGGGTCGCCTAACATATAAGCCTCTTGTGGAACTAATATCTTGTTATTCTGGTAGAGATTAAACCATTAGAATACCCAAGAGACTCTAGAAAATGCTTAATTACACAGGATTTAATACTACTACAGCTATTTAAAAGAAGAATAGATTGAAATGTACAAACCTTTTGGAGATATGGCCATATTGACATTATCACAATAGAAAACCCTGTGAAGAGGCAAACTCGGTTACTTATACTTATAATTATTTAATCGCTATTACAGATACAATTTTTTAATATAGATTTTAAAATACCACTCTGAACCTACAAATTTATGTACTAAAATGTCTAATTTATCAAGCAATAAGATTTTAATCATCAAAAAAAAATAAATACCAAAGGCTTGAAAATTATAGTCCCTGGCAATAATGAATACAATAAGAGACTCTATTTCTCCTTACATACTTTTCCTATAAATGGAAATTATTGAAGGCTTTGGTAAGATTTTAAAGTCCTGGCTTCTAGCTTGTATTTTTGGGAGAGAAACTTGATTGCAGGAAAGACGAGAAGAAGGAAAATGATCACAAAGCGTGTGAAAGTCCCAGGGAATCTGGTTAACTTTGCTTGACCAGCATTTCCAAAACCTGTTGGAACGCATGAGCACAGTGACTAGCAGCATTGAGGATTACGAGTAAGGTCTGACCTCTAATCTCAACTCTTGGCAGTAACTCTAGATAGCATTAGGGCAAACTATTCTTTTATTTTTTGAGTTAGAATCTCACTCTGTTGCCCAGACTGGAGTGCAGTGGCCGCTCCTGGCCATCACAGCCTCGACCTGCAGGGCTCCGGCGATCCTTCCGCCTCAGCCTTCCAAGTAGTTGGAACTACAGGTGCGTGCTACCACGCCCAGCTATTTTTTGATTTATTGTAGAGATGAGGTCTTGCCAAGTTGCCGAGGCGGGTCTCGAACCCGCGGGCTCAGGCAATCCACTCACCTCAGCCTCCCAAAGGCACGGGATTACAGGCTGAGCCACCGAGCCTAGCTAGGGCAAACTGTTCTTTACGCCCCAATGTTTTTCATCTGTTTGGTGTAATCACGTGCACGCCACCTAGGGCATACAGTGGTGATTCCAACAGGGTCTTACTTGTGAGACGTCTGTGAAAAGTAAAAAAAGACTAGAGAAACGCAAGGGTTTCTTTTTCTCCATAGATTTTGTGGCGATAGCAGATCTGGCATGAGTGTTCAGTAAAGAATTCCAATGGTGTGACATTGCTGAGTCTCTTGCTGTAGGGAACCTTCGTTTTTTTTTTAACAATGTTTGTTTTTTGAAAAAGATGATGTTGGATAATTTGGCTATTATCTTATAGCACAGAAGAAAAGGGGCCAATAACTGAGAGGAAGAATGGGTCAGAAAGGAGAGGGAGAAGAATTTAGTTAATACGAATTTCTTTTCTTGTAAATGTAACGGTCTTATACATCAAATTGCATTTTGTTTTGCTCCTGATTCTTTGAGACACAGCTGAGATCCCATTATCCACACTCCGTCTTGAGGGCATGAGGACACTGCTGTGATTAAAACTGAGTATCTAAAATTTAAAAATGGGTCAGGTGTGGTGGCTCTGCCTGTAATCCCAGCACTTTGGGAGACCAAGGCGAGTGGATTGCCTGAGCCGACGGGTTCGAGACCAGCCTGGGCAACTTGGCAAGACCTCATCTCTACAATAAATCAAAAAAATTAGCAGGGCATGATGGTGTACACCTGTAGTCCCAACTACTTGGAAGGCTGAGGCAGAAGGATCGCCTGAGTTCAGCAGGTTGATGCTGGGGTGGCTGTGAGTATGCGCCATTGCACTCCAGCCTGGGTGACAGAGTGAGACTCCAACTCAAAAGAAAAAGGTTGGCACCTTTAAGAAGCAGCAGAAGCAATCATCCACGGAAGACGGAAGAGTTGACCGGGCACGGTGGCTCAAACCTGTAATCCCAGCACTCCGGGAGGCAGAGGAGAGGACTGCTTTAGCCTATGGATTCGCGACCAGCCTGAGCAAAATGGTGAGAACTCATCTCTACAATAAATCAAAAAACTAGCCGGGCATGGTGGCACACACCTGTGGCTCTAGCTACTTGGAAAGCTGAAGCAGAAGGATCACCTGAGCTCAGCAGGTCAAGGCTCAGTGGCCAAGAGCGTGCCACTACACTCCAGTCTGGGCAACCGAGTGAGACTCTGACTCAAAAAAAAAAGAGAGAGAACCCTATGGAGATAGGTGGCACCACAGTGTGGAGGCACTTTATGCTACTGAACCAAGATGTAGCCAGACGGTGGGTTTTATGGACACATCTTTTACCACAATGCAGGACAATTTAAAGATTAGATGAGCTGGGCTTGGTGGCTCAGCCTGTAATACCGCGCCTTTGGGAGGCCGAGGTGAGTGGATTGCCCGAGCCCGTGGGTTCGAGACCCGCTTGGGGAACTTGGCGAGACCTCATCTCTACAATAAGTCAAAAATTAGCCGGGCGTGGTAGCACGCGCCTGTGGATCCAGCTACTTGGAAGGCTGAGGCGGAAGGATGGCCGGAGCCCAGCAGGTCGGGGCTGCGGTGGCCAGGAGCGGCCCCTGTACTCCAGTCTGGGCGACGGAGTGAGACTCCAACACACACAAAAAAAAACATTAGATGAGATCAAAACACACCCTTCCCCCGAACTGTTTTCACTTCGTGCAGCCAATACTTACCGATGCTGCTGAGGAACATGGTGAGATACAGAACCCTGATGGAGCGCCACCGGCCCCTGCGATGCGCCTCAGTTTCGACAACGTCCCATTCCCTAGGAGTGACAAGGAAACGGTGGCATCAGTGCACCTCTTACGTACAGATCCTGATGGGCTCACAAGCCTGTTTTCTCTCTCCTGAAGTTAGGAAAACAACATGACAGAGGTAGAATTTACCAATATTGGCTTCTGCCACGTGAATCCACCCATGAATAAGAATTTTTTTTTTTGTTTTTTTTGAGTCGGAGTCTCACTCTGTCGCCCAGACTGGAGTGCAGTGGCCGCTCCCGGTCACCGCAGCCTCGACCTGCTGGGCTCCGGCGATCCTTCCGCCTCAGCCTTCCGAGTAGCCGGAATTACAGGCGCGCGCTACCACACCCGGCTGATTTTTTTGATTTATTGTAGAGATGAGGTCTCACTGCCCAGGCGGGTCTCGAACCCGCAGGCTCAGGCAATCCACTCACCTCAGCCTCCCAAAGGCGTGGGATGACAGGGTGAGCCACCGAGCCCGGCTAAGAATTTTTAAAACATTTTTATGGATGCCATTTATGCATCCCGGACACCAAAACCTGGGAAACGCAGGATAGCTTAAAAAAGGCAAAACATGTCTGGGAGTGGGCTCAAGCCTGTAATCCCAGCACTTTGGGAGGCTGAGGTGTGAGGATCATCTGAGTCCAGGGGTTCAAGACCAGCCTGGGCAACTTGGTGAGATCTCATCTCTACAATTAAAAAAAATTAGCCAGGTGTGGCGGCGTGCGCCTGCAGTTCCAGCCACTTGGAAGGCTGAGGTGGAAGGACTGCCTGAGCCCAGCAGGTCAAGGCTGTTGTGCCGTGAGCGTGCCACTGCACTCCAGCCTTGGCGACAGAGTGAGACTCCAACTACAAAAAACCAAAACAAATAGAAATTTTAAAACCGCAAAACATTATCAAAGCAATTATCTTGCTATTGTTGGCATATACATGTATTAATCAAGAGTGCTGAAAGTTATTGAACCCACACAGTGAATAGATTGTATCAAGGTGAATAAACTAGCTATAATGATGAGTTCACCCATGGCTACTAAATACTAAGAGAAATTCACTGTCATCATTATAACATGCTCTACCTGATGTCAGCAAGGTAACCGTGCTGCAGGAAGAGATCTTTGCTGGGTGCTTTCACAAAATTAACACAGGAGTGACACCAGGACAGTCTGATGAGACCTGAGACATTCCCAGCCTAGGGACCTCTTGTGACAGTCACCTTTGCTCCAGCAAGCATTACCAGATAAATTCTACGAGCAGACCAAAAGAGAGACCAAACTCTCCAGCCTGAGGTGACCTCTTGGACAGGGCTCTGACCCACCCATTGCCTAGGTCGTGGGCAATTATACGAACTGGATATCCCACCTCTATCAGGGACACGTGGTATGTGCACTCATTCATTTTCACACAGACAAATACGAAGAGTGATCAAATTTACCTGAATGTGAGCGTTACGATTCCAAATAATCAAGACATGTATAACAGACAAAATGCCTTCTCATTCTCCAAGATTATTTTCTAAAATAGGTCTTGGAGCTGTCAAATTCGTATTCAAAAGAGAAACTTTTTGTTCAAATGTGACGTGATTGGTATCATAGTGAGGAAAGGAAGAAGAAAAATGTCATTTTTTAGATATACTATGGGTCAAGTACATAGTTCCTGATATAGTATATTTAAAGTGGTTACCATTCTGTATGTCATTCCATATAAACAGACCTTTACTGGTAATGTGCCATACCTGAAAATATGCCAGAACCCAATACCCATCCTTCCAAAACAATAGAATTTGGAAAACATAATGTAGATTGTTACTAACTTAGCAAAACACATATACGCACCATTCAATCCCATAGTACTGGATTTCGATATTACTTTAAGGCATTGGGTTAATATTATATTTTTAGTGAACGTATTATTATTTTGTGGAGATAAATAACTAAGTTGCCAGGTGCGGTGGCTCACATCTGTAATCTCAGCACTTTGGGAGGCGGAGGCAAGAGGACTGCCTGAGCCAGGAGTTGAAGACCAGCCTAGACAACTTGGCAAGGTTTCGTCTCTACAATAAATCAAAAAATTAGCTGGGAGTGGTGGCGCACACTTGTGGTTCCAGCTACTTAGAAGGCTGAGGTGGAAGGATCACCCAAGCCCAGCAGGTCAAGGTTGCAGTGACCATGAGTGTGCCACTGCACTCCAGCCCTGGCAACAGTGTGAGATTCCAACTCAAAAAAAAAAAGCAAATGGCAACCTCTTCTATTCTCAAATAACGGCAGCTAGCATCTATCCTTTTTTTTTCCTCTTTTAATTTCTATTTTTAAATTGTGGGGTACAACTCAGGGTTAGGTTTACAAATATTCACTGCTGATGAGTGTCCCCCCAACCCCAGGCAGATATCGAGGACTGTCGATTCCACCTCCCACCCCACTCCACCCCAGCAGGTTCCCGCTACTGTCAATCAGCTTTTTGCTAAGTCTGAATGTTTGAGTGGGCCCCAGATTCACATGTTAAAGTCCTAACTCACAAGGTGTTGGCATTAGGAGAGGGGGCCTTTTCTGAGGTCACTAGATCATGAAGATGAAGCCCTCATAAATGGGAGTAAGCCTTTATAAAATAGGCCCGGCCAGGCTCGGTGGCTCAGTCTGCAATCCCAGCGCTTTGGGAGGCCGAGGCGACTGGACTGCCAGAGCCCGTGGGTTTGAGACCCACCCGGGCAACTTGGCAAGACCTCATCTCTACAATAAATCAAAAACTAGCCGGGCGTGGTAGCGCATGCCTGTAATTCCAGCTACTTGGAAGGCTGAGGTGGAAGGATTCCCAGAGCCCAGCAGGTCGAGGCTGTGGTGGCCAGGAGCGGCCACTGCAGTCCAGTCTGGGCGACAGAGTGAGACTCCAACCCAAATAAATAAATAAATAAAATAGGCCCAAGAGAGCTTGTTCACTTCGTCTACTACATGAGGACACAGCGAGAGGTCACATCCGTGAACCAAGAAACAGGTCTTCACCAGACACCTAATCTGCCGGCACCTTGATCTCCCAGCCTCCAGAACTGTGAGAAATAAACGCTTGGTGTTCATTAAAAAAGAAAAGAAAGAAAGAAAAGAAAAGAAAAAGAAATGAAGCTTAGCCAGGCACAGGGGCTTATGCCCATCACTCCAGCACTTTGGGAGGCAGAGGCGAGAGGACTGCCTGAGCCCAGGGATTTGGGACCAGCCTGGGCAACTTGGCGAGACCTCATGTCTGCAATAAAAAAAAAAGAAAAAGGAAAAGAAAATTAGTCGGGTGTGGTGGCACACGCCTGTAGTTCCAGCTACTTGGGAGGCTGAGGCAGAAGAATCGCCTGAGCCCAGCAGGTTGAGGCTGCTGTAGCCCGTGCCACTGCACTCTAGCCTGGGTGACAGTGAGACTTCAACTCAAAACAAAACAAAACAAAAATATACAATACACTTTTGCAACACCTGGACAAGCAAAAGTACAAACGACACGTTGCATGATATTCTTGAATTAGTACTGTTTGGCTAGTTGTGGTGACAGGCATGGAGTTGTGTAAAAGGACTTTGATCTTGGGACATGCAGGCTGCCATAGGTACCTGGGACGGTGTCACGTGTCTGTGACCTTGGGTAGCTTGGCCCAACAGGTGTGAGCGGAGGTGTGTGCACAAGAGATCTGGGCAGTGTGGCAAAGGCCAACAGTGACAGACAGAACACACAGGTGTTCATTGTTTTTCTGACCTTTCCACAGACTTCAAGCTTTTCGATAAAAAGTTTTACTTTTTTCTCTTTTTAATTAAAAAAGGAAAACTTGGGTGAAGAAACGTTTCTACCTTGCTAGAGAGAGTAGAAACACAGGAGCATTCTCCTGCAATCAGGTGGCCATACTGGCTACACAGTCTTGAGTTTGATGATTCACACGAGTGTGACCCAGAGCTGAGACTGAACTGCCAGAGGCTGCTTGAGCGCCAGGGCACAGGGAGAACGGCCACACTTCCAGGACGATGCCTGTGACCCCTTCCGTGACCACTGCTCCAACCCAGGGTCCACTCCCCACTTGAGACCGGCCTGTTCAACATTTCCACTCCACACTGAAATGCCCCTCATGAGAGCAGGCTGTCAAACTTGAAAAGTTAACTTAAGGCCGGGCATGGTGGCTCACGCCTACAATCCCAGCACTTTGGGAGGCCAAGGTGAGAGGACAGCCTGAGCCCACAGGTTCCAGAGCAGCCTGGGCAACTTGGTGAGACCTCACCTCTACAATAAAGCAAGAAAAATGAGCTGGTTGTGGTGGCGCATGCCTGTAGTCTGGCTACTTGGAAGGCTAAGGCAGAAGCATCGCCAGAGCCCAGCAGGTCGAGGCTGCAGTAGCTGGGAGCATGCCACTGCCTTCCAGCCTGGGCAAGAGAGTGAGACTCCAAATGTTTTAGAAAGCCCCAAAACTAGGAGGGATACACAACATACTGGTGAACTGATAACCAAAGCAAGTTAGAGAAGATTTAATAATTTAATTATAATAATAATTATTTTTTCTGAGTTGGAGTCTCACTCTGTCACCCAGACTGGAGTGCAGCGGCACACACACGGCCACCCAGCGTCAACCTGCTGGGCTCTGGCGATCCCTCCACCTCAGCCTTCCCAGTAGCCGGAACTACAGGCGCACGCTGCCACGCCCGGCTAATTTTTGATTGATTGTAGAGAGGAGGTCTCGCCAAGTTGCCAGGGTTGGTCTTGAACCCGCGGGCTCAGGCAATCCACACGCCTCGGCCTCCCAAAGTGCTGGGATGACAGGTTGAACCAACAAGCCTGGCCAATAACAATAATTTTAATCAACAAAAAACATTACAGGATCAACAGACCTATTACAAGACAAGACCAAGTACCAGGAGACTTGGGTAGGCAGTAGAACTCTATGTTAGACAGAAACAGAAACTTGGGATTGACTAAGGGAAAAATAAAATGACACTTTTACCAGACAGAGCATCTGTGGCTACTGAAGAACAAAAAAGAACCCACGTTCCACGAGGATAAGAGGAAGGA